GTCTCGTGCCTCTGACGAGATACTGCAGTGATCCTATAAGTCCCCTGTAGTCGTAGGGTTGTGCATCAATCTGCTCCCTTGACATGTTGCTTTCAGCAATCAACTCTTGTCCTACTATTTGAGGTGTCGATACTGTTGAAGCTTCGGTCATACCGAACTTTTCCATCAAATCATTGATGTACTTATTCTGAGAAATCGTCATAAGTCGATTGTTGCGGTCACGTTTGACTTCCATTTTGAGAATGTAACTGATCTCGCCAAGATCTTTCATCTTGAAGTGGCCAGATAGTTCAGCCTTTATTTTGTTCACACTTTGGACACTTGGAGAGACTATAGTAATGTCATCGACATATACAACTAATATGACCCAGTCACTTTCTTTGGTACTGAACACTTGGCTCAATTCTCCCACTTTTAGGACGTAGATACAATACTCTTTGTAGCACCGTACAAAACCCATTTCTGTGAGGAAAGCATGTAGAACATTGTACCAAATTCTAGGTGCCTGGCGTAGGCCATAGAGACTCTTCTTTAGGCGAAGAACAAACTCAGGTCCTTTCCTAAAGTAGCCCACAGGCTGTCGCATGTAGATTCTCTCAGTTAGCGTTCCATTTAGAAACGCTGTAACAGCATCCATTTGATGACACTCGACATTGAGTATAGTTACTATTGCTAGTACAAGTCGTAATGACTCATATCGAGCGACGGGAGCATAAATCTCGTCACAGTCGACTCCAACGTTTTGGTGGCAACCTTTTGCTACGAGTCGTGCTTAGTAACGCTCAATTTTACCATTGGATAAATATTTTACATTAAATACCCAATGGCAGGGAATAACTTTTTCATCCAATGGCATTGGACATAACTCCCATGTGTCATTTTCCAAGAGTGAGTTATATTCAGAATCCAGTGCCTGCACCCAGTTGGCGCGATTGTCACATCGCATGGCTTCCTTGTAAGACTTTGGTACTTTATGACGCATGCGATGCTTATCAACAGCGATTTTGTCGGTTAACTTATTAACCATACTAGTATTGCAGCTATACTGCAGGCGACTGGGTTGTTGTCTTTTACGTGCACTACGTTCTAAGTATGTTACCGTTTCAATTGGCACTGGTTTGGGGAGTGATGTTTTCGAAGCAACTCCCACTGTCTCTGCAGGTGTCCCAACTCCCACTGTCTCTACTGTAGTGTCAATTTTAGAACGTTTGTTTCGTGGCTCATCATTGCCAGAAATTTCTAGTGGACGTTTGGAACCACTTAGTTCCTTTATTTCGCACAATTCGTCGTCATTTAAAACGGTATCATTAGTTTCAAACGCATTACGAATGAACTCTTGTGATGATACAGGGTCGAATAGAATGTCTCTTGCGACGAAGTAGCGATCTCGTTCAATATCAAGAAGACGGTAACCCTTGTACTCTTCAGAGATACCGAGGAATCTACACTTTGTAGCTCTAGCAGAGAGTTTCTTGTCACTCCTAAGCTCTTTGGGTACATAAGCCCAGCACAGGGAACCCCATGCGTGTAAACGAGTCAAGTCCGGTGCTTCTTTATAGAACATTTCGTATGGTGTTTTAATCCCAAAGCGTTTCATTGGAGTTCTGTTTTTAACATAGTTCATATAAACAACGGCCTCGGGCCACCACACCGCAGGCAACTTTGCATCCATTAATACACACCGTACTTTCCCAAACTTAGTTTGATGATCTCTCTCAGCGGCACCAATTTCTTCTGGTGAATATGGTATGGACTTTTGATAGGTTATACCCTTTAACTTGCAGAAGTCATCTAATGCGATCCCTTCACTGAGGTCGCTCTTAAGCAAGGCACAGTCGGCCTTTAGATGGCCTTTGCCGTCCACATTAGCGGTGCCGTGACAGTAAAAACACTCCGAGTAGGCAGTTGACTTTCTCTCATTAGCTTGGTTACGGTGAACCTTAGCTTGGTTGACGTGCACTTCACGTTTTGGGAGCTTGCTAGACATGTTTGCAATAGCCTCACTAGACTTGTCGCTAAATACCTGCTTCATTAGTGTCTCGATGGTAGACAGTTTAAAACCGTCAGTAGTTTGGTTCACATTAGAGCCAAAGTACTCGTGGGGAAGTGCCGCCACAACTGCCTGGGAAATTTGATATTCGGATATCAAGGGAACTCAGCCCATTAAGCTGATTCTGCAAAGAGCGCATTCTCTTGATCAAATCAAAGACGCACTTAAATGGTTTCGTAGGTAGAGTTATAAACTCTAGGTACAAGGTCGTGCTCAGATCGAGCGACGACTGCGCATAATCGCGTTCGAGGCGTGCCCAGACGTCAGAGAGGTTGAGGTCAGGGTTGTTGATCGTGCCGGGGAGCTGAATCAGAAACTCATTTGGTAACCAAATAAGCTCCTGATCAGGCTCTCCTGCATGCGCAGGTAGTAGAGGCGCTTCATCTTCTCGGCCTCCAGGCTCGCTGCCGTCGCGGAAGGCGGCGTGTCGGCGGCGACATCGACGTCGTTGATGATTGGCTTATGTGAAGCCTGGAGCTCTTCCAGCTTCAATCACATATATATAGCTTTAACTATGTAACTTCAATCCTTGTCTGCCTACGGCTAACACCCATGGCAGTCCGTGCTGTATTAGATGTGGCGTTTGTAGAGTGCACAACATAAATCAGCGGATAGGATACAATTTGTATCGCCATTGCGGTTGTGATACTACAACGTTAGACCAAGAATCATTTTTAATCTAAATTCGTTTGAAACCATTGGAATTTTTTATGCAAATTGTTTGACATTACTACAAATTAATGTGACTAATGGAAGACTCCCGAATCTCTCGTATCACATTTAGCGAGTGGCTCGCATCTGCGACATTTTTGGTTTTTTAATACCAATCGCAAATTGCGGAGACCAAAAAATAGTCTCCGCAAGTTGCGACCACGCAAGCAAAGCCACCGTAGCAGTTAATACAAAATCAAAGAGGAGTTTAACGAGTGGACAACACTCTAACTTGTAATCCTAGTTATGGCGAAGAAAGCAAAGAGTCGTGGAAAGAGTTGGTGCCCAGGGTCGGTCGAGTTGATGCTCGACCACAGCTCATGCCGGCCGGAAGTAACGGCTGGGATGAAGCTGCCGCCAAGTTTAATGCTGGGCCATACCCTTTCCGTCATGCAGAAGGTATCAAGCGCAAGTTTTACACGCTTCGAAACCACGAAAAGCCCACCGGCGATCCGTCGTGCCCGGTGGATGTCGTTCGGGCCAAATACATCAGTCGTCCCATCGACGCCAACTGTGCAGTGCTCCCATGGAAGACGACGAGGACGACATGGACGACGACAGTCATGGCGATGGGCAACGACTATGCGTCCGAGCAAGGTACATGTACTCTATACTATGCAATTCGGTTATTAATGTGCCTGTCTTGTAGATGAATGCCAAGTCAAGATGAACGAGGTCCCTCTCCCTGCGTCGCGCCATGAGCGCCCCAGTCGCTCCGGCATGGGCGAGTCGGAGCTCGCTATGTTGGGGAGCAGATTGAAGCGGGCCGCATCGGCCCCCCCCAGTGGTGGTATGACGTCGTGCTGTTTATCTATGTTAATAGGTTCTTTATCAGCATTACAACAAAAAAAATAAAAGATTATTAGCTTATAGTTCAATAAATCATGTTGGTTTATATTAATAGGTTTTACTTCTAATTTATTTGAAAGTATACCCGCGGGTATGTGGCGAAGAAACACGTCAATCAATTGACAAGTTTATTGATGGCGCGATGGTACCTGACGCCAAGGCATCGTCGGACATGAAGTCCATGACGATGCTCATGGGCGTACGCGCTGCTCAGCGCGAAGAAAAACGGCTCGACAAAGTGCTCGAATGGCGGCAGCAGCAACAAGAGCGTGAGGAAAGAGTCCAGCGAGATCGATCTGAACGCGATGCACAACCCGATGAAATGCAGCTCATGCTGTTCACCAAGCTTTTTGGTAACAACTAGCAAATAAGAAAACTTTCGAGATGTATTTTTGCTTTGATTTGCAAGACTTGCTTCACAAACTTTGGAGAAATAACCAATTTTAGGAATATGTACTTAGCTTAGGCACATTTTTCAAAATATAGTTCCACTTTGGTGAATTCGTGAAAAATGTGTCGAAAAAGTCAAAACGAAGCTAGGAAGACGAAAAAATTGAACTAAATTTCCATGGCATTATGCTTGTCCGTGGTTGAATCATATTGAAGGTGCCAAAATGCATACGAAGAACTTGCTAAATTCCAAACACATTTTTTATCTGACTTATATGCCTGTACGCCGGACACGGTAGTTGCAAAGTCGAAACAAATTGCTGAGTCTTGTGTTGCGCAAAGCTGGATTGAAGGGTAGAGGTAGCATGAGCTGTCGGTAAACCTTTGGGACGGCCCCCATTCCCCACTCTGCAGCCTGACGGAGTGACGGAATACAATCGCTCATGGTCTGCAGTCCAAGGCGACACTCGGTTTGGTATCGTTCCAAGTTGCCCTGCTTCAACGGAGTGACGATTCGACCCAACGCTAGGCCACCGACAGGAAAAGCTGAGTCCGACGCCAACTTAATTCCCGGCGCAACGCGGCTACCATCAGCCAGAAACTCCTGCAACCTTCGGCTCATCTCTCCATCGTTCCAGAAGCCCGGGCAATTGTGGCGACCCCAAATGATCGTGCCGTCGAGCCCGAAGCAAAGCACGCCAGTGACAAAGAGCGAGTGTAACCAACCTATATCAACATCAGTGTCAATCACATTCACGGGACATACCGTTGTAATGAGCGTTTTGCAAATCGGCACACGACGGTTCTTGGACGCCAAGGCTCTTGCCGTCGACAAAAACAAACACGCCGCTAACAAGTGGCTCCCGCTCTTGTGACTTGGACGCCCAGTACAGCTGCGTGGCCTTGGATGGCCACTTGATCCTAGCGGCCGGCATGCATTGGAGTGCCCTGGACAGGGCGTCTTCACCCCGCCGCAGCAGTCTCGAGAGTGTCGTTGATGCGACGCCAAAGAGCTCCTGCAGTGTCTTGTGCTCGACGGCTGCCGTGTAAAAATGCAGCACAATAGCGAGAACAGCATGTTTATCCTGGACACGTGGCGGCCGGCCACCCCTGCCTCGCCGAGATAAATCGACGTATTCACGAGCGAAGGGTACAAGTAGCTCGTCGAACGCCTCTGGTGTCAATGACACAGTGGCTATAAATGACGCTCTATCACGTGAAGCATACATGTAGTACCACGCGATGTCTGTCTGCATTCTTGGTAACGACGCTGTTTGAACTCTGTTGCGTTCTTTGAGAGCTGCACGTAGCTTTAGCGCACGCATTCTCCTGAGCAACGAGCGACGTCTGGCTAAGCGAGCCATCAAGACCATGATGAGGTCAGACCCCATGGTTGTAAAGTGTCGCTCATATGACCAAGCAACCACGAATTATTCAACCAATGAAATGTAGTTATTGATTCGTCATCGCCCAATTAGAATGCAAATATTTGCGAGTTTGCTGTAGTTTTGGTGGCCTCACGTCAACCAATCTCTGATCAGTCCCCACAGACAACAATAAAAACATACTACTCTGGTCCACAATAAACCCGACATTTACTTCCAATTGGCGGAATAAGGTCAGATTTTGCACTATAAGCATTTTGATAGGCTCTCCAAAGAGAGCAAACCAAGGGCTTTGATTGGACTATAAATGCGTTTTCCAGAATGTTTTAGTTCTGGAGATATGAGGCGCCAAAGTTTGAAGTTTCCACGACCAGAGTAATATGATGTGTAGTACATGCTACATTTCTTCTTTAACCAGCCCGAAACAACTACTACACAACCACAACCCCCCTGTTATGCCTTCGTCACGCTGCGAGTCCATTGGACCCACGCAATCTCGCGTAAAGGCTCAAAACCTTACCGACGTGGAGCGACAAGCCATGATCAACATGCTGCTAGCGAGCAGCAATGGCGGCAAGCGAAAGTATGGATCCGTCAAAGGCGTGGCAGACCAATTCAACTGCCATCGCACAACGGTGTCCGCGGTCTGGAACTCGTGGAAAGCAGCATGCGCAGAGTGCGGCTCCAAGATGATCGCGTCACCTCCAACAACCCGCATGAAAGGTATAAAATGATAAAGGCTTCAGTTTTTAAAGGATGAACTTGAATTAGGGAACTGTGGAGCGAAAACGAAGTGGTCTGCTGAAGCCATTGAGGCAGCGATCAAGTTCGTCCCGTTTCATAAACGACAAACCACCCGAGCTTTGGCCTTTCACTCTGGAGTTCCGCGATCAACCATTCTGCGCCACATGAAGCGCAACCGCCGTCTCCGATGCAAATCGTCGTACCTGCGGCCATTGCTGACTGAGGACAACAAGGAAGAACGCATGAAGTTTGCTTTGTCCTTTGTCAAGAAGAACCACGTTTTCGACGACCCTGCACGACGTCGTGCACGTTGACGAGAAGTGGTTCTTTTTGACAAAGAACAAGGGCAAGTTCTACGTGTACGACGACGAAACGTTGCCACACCGTCAGTCCAAGTCGAAGCGCTTCATCACAAAGGTAATGTTCCTCTGTGCCCTCTGTGCGTAATGTTCCTCTGTGCTGTTGCGCGGCCCCGGTACGATGTCAGCATCCGCCGCATGTTCGACGGGAAGATCGGGATGTGGCCCTTTGTTGTGAAGGCGCCAGCACAACGCAACAGCAAGAATCGACCTTGGGGGCCGATGCTCACCGAGCCCCAAAACGTGACCGCCCAAGTGTACCAAGACATGTTGCTCACCCGAGTAATTCCTGCAATCAAGATGAAGTTGCCGCTGGTCATGAAGTCGTCAACGGTGTACATTCAGCAAGACAACGCCGGCCCACACGCAAAGTCCGTGAACAAAGCCATTGATCAGCTTGCAGTGAACGATGGATGGACTATTCGACTTCGAAATCAACCACCGAACAGTCCCGACTTCAACGTCTTAGATTTAGGATTCTTCAATTCTTCAGTATCAGTCAACTCCATCGAATATCGATGAGCTGATTAGTGCTGTTGAAACTGCTCTTTGCCAACTGCCACATGATACATTGGCAAAAACATTTATGACACTTCAAAGCGTTATGGAGCTGTCGATAGAAAATGGCGGAAGCAACGAGTACAAGCTACCGCACATGGGCAAAGATAAGCTAAAAACTGATTTGACTCACTTGAATGTAACTTGTGACGAAGATACAGTTGCAATGGCTTTATCGATGTTAAGTGTGCGGCTTGGCAATGAAGCTGAGTTGAATGACCTCCTCAATTCCCAGCACAGTACATAACGTCGGTGACAAAATGAAAAATAATAAATTCTTACGAGTGAATACAATCATCCAGTATAATTGTCATTTCGTTATTAATACAAATGCCAAGTCAAATAAGTGTCGGAATTTCTCTGGTCCAAAACTTGGATGCAAATGTCAGCATTTTAGCGGTCCAGAGTAGTAGGTGCTATCCGGATGTGATATGCGATGCGAGGGGTGTTTGCGAGAGTTTCGGGAGTCCTCCAATGTCCCCAAGTGTTCACACTTGGTTGGTTCCCGAAAGGATGGCGTCAGGTCGAATGGAGGAATTCCTAGGATGCTACGGAGATCTTCAACGGACAGAAAACAATCGACTGGGGCACTGACCATCGTGCCAAACCGAACACGAACCGAACCTACGGTACGTTTTCGTGGTCTGGGGATTTATTTTGCGCCACCGTCGCATGCCCTTGCCAATGAACAATAGTGGCAGCATGTGGGAACCATCAGCATTCGCCGCTAAGGCAGCAGAGAGACGACTCTTGTCCTTCTTGGAGCCCGCCGTCTTCTTCTTCGCGATGGTAGAGCTTGGATGTCGATTGTAGAAGTTTGCCGCCCCATCTATGTTGTAGATGTCGCGTGGATCGTTCAGTTCCTCTCCCATCGCAGCGCCGTTCGACCGTCCCGAACTACAGCGTTGTTGGCGGACGCAGCTTCGCCGTGCATTCGATACATCTTCAACGTGTTGCGTTGTTGAAACCGATGCAGCCATCCGTTGGAGAAGCGGACAGAGTCATCCACGTTGAGCTCTCGTGCGAGCAGTTGACCCTTTCGCTTGATCATCTGGCCAGTAATCGAGGCACACCCTTGTCGTTGGCATTGACGACCCATGCGGCAAGCTGAAAGTTGATCTCGGTTAGTTGGGGAGCCTTGATGTTGCGGCGTATGTTGGCCGCTGCGTTATCAATGTTTGCCATGTCGTGGTTTCGCGCGTCGCGAACGATACTCGTGATTCATGACAGGTGCACAGGGACCCCGAACTCCCGCACGACCCACGTGCAAGTGACAGAAAACGTGTGGTTGTCGATCGCAAGGTGATGCGCACGTATCTGGGCCTTTGGACCCAAGGTTAGACGTGGGCGATTGCTTGGCATACACCACAGGTATTTGACTGTGAAGGTGGGGTCTACAATCAACCACGTGCATTGGCACAGATTCGCTGTCGTTTGAATTTCAAAATGACCCAGTTCCCGTTATCATCCAATATCGCATCGTGTTACATACTTCGACGTAGGATATTATTTTATACTCGAAGTACTTCGTAGCACTGTCCTTTTGGGCGAGTCGAATGCAAAGAAATTTTCCACTGGGCCGATTTTAAGGCAGTTTTTTTTAATCTCTTCGTCTTCGATCACATATTCTGCTTGCAGAAGCCAGAAGGCCCAACTACAAAACTGTGCTCTACGTTCGCAAGCAACGATTCCAGCGACGAAACGTAGTATTTTAATGAAGTAGACTATTTAAATAGTTATATTTTTTCAATACTGTTAATAATTTGTACATCTGATATAGAAATACTATAGATTATTTAATGTTTATTTTGTTTTAAGACTGAAGTGTAGAATACTTCGATGCAGCAGTTTTAAAAATACGCTTCCATTAAGTACGTTGCATTAGGTGCTTAAACCTCATTTCAAACCTGGGAGAGCAGAATGCAAATCCAGGAAAAATAAAACCCCTCACTTACAGCAGGTTAAACTCCTGAATTCAAATATACCTTTGGATCTGGGAAATACCTCCTAGGGTAAAAGTTATGGGAGAAACCATTCTTGACTTCGCCCAAACAGACAGTATGTAGTACTACTAGTAGTACAGTACCAGTTTGCAAAAATCGGGGATCTAAACTACTCTTCTCATTAAAGTAGCTTTTTAAGCTCGCGTTTGTAAGGGTCAAAAAGTGTCTTTTGCTTTTAACTATGGTGAAATTTCAAATGGCATCGTTTTTAAAATGAAATCTAATTTGCATGATGGTGATCGCTCGACAATTGGCCTAAATTGCCATATTTACACTTTTCACATGCCCTTGGACATTTTGGATCAGAAATCGCCGAATTTAATGATGTGTTTTCAGAAATCACGACCAAAGTGTCAATGTTATCATGTGTGAAGGAAAAGGGTTAGTAGACAACGTTTCAACAAACGGCGACGAGGTTGTGGAAGTGACGCAGTCGTAGTGTCGTGTGCAATACAAATGTCAAGTCATTTGGTCGTGTAGGGGGAACGGCACTCCCACTTAAATGCGATACTTAAACCAAGTAGAAATGTCCACTGACCTGCCATGTGTTTGTTTCGAAACGCCTCTTTCACACACTGTACGGTGCGAGTACTGTACACATACAAGTAACCAGATATATTTCGTCCAGAGCAGTATGAAAACTCAGTTTCAACAGGAAAACACAATAGCTAAGACGCAACTATTCTATTCGGTCAATTATTGTTGTTGTGTGACATGTGATCGAAGGAATACGAAATTCTCTATCATCATGATATCTCACCCATTACAATTTCACAAACCTGCAATATTACGTCCCATTTAGTGAGAAAACACTGCTTTCAATACGCAAATACAAAAACAATGACACAACTATTCCATTGGTTATATTTTGGTGTATAATTAGACTGTCGTGGCACCACAATTCTGGCATGGCGTCATTCGAGAATTGTGTTGGAGGATGCAAGGTACGTTCATGTCATGCATGGTCTGCTTGGTGTTCATGTTCTGCTCGGAGTTCATGTCCATGCATGTTCTTCTCGGTGTTAGGATAAAATAGCAATGTGAGTGGGTCTAAAGTGACGCGGACTTACGAAACGCGAAGATCCACCGTTCCTTCCTCATGATCCCGTCCAAGATACGATTCAAGTACGGCCTCCATGCCGAAGCGCTGTGAATTACGTCGGACGGCAATCGTACGAAGTGTTTGAGGAAGGTGGTCACACGCGGCTGCATGTTCCTGGGAAAACGAAGACGTGCCCGCACTGCCGAGCAAAGTTGACACCCCACGACTTCAAAAACTTGCCCTGTTGTTTGAAGGTCATGGTAAAGATGAATCCTTACGTTTTCCCCGACTCGCCGGAAATGCAAGCGTTCAAAGATCTCTTCAAGCAGCGCAACTTCATCGAGCACATCCGTCAGTACAACGCTCAGTTCAACTTCACTTCCATTGGAACCAACGAGGTCAGGCACAGCGGCAGCGGCCCCAAGACGTATTGTATTCAAGGCCAGCTGACCCACAACATTGGTCCGTTGCAGCCCAGCCTGAACAGAAGTGGCAACCTGCGACAACCCAGTTTTGCCCAAATCTACATGCACACCAGCGAGGAGCAACTTCAACACCGACGAAACATGTTTCCGGTGTTCAGTTCGCGGTATACTGCCACGATACAGCGAGTGATGGACCTCCACAACCCATTGGCGAGAACGTATGCAACTACCAAAGAACGTTTGCGTCGAGCGGAAGAGGACGGGACATCGGGGGGCAATCTTCAAATTGTCCTGAAGGCTGTTGGTGGCGCGCAGGCTCGAACACACAACTTGCCTACCGTGGCTCAGCTTGCGGTAATCATGGAGACGGCAGCGAACCCACAGAAGGCCGTTATGTGGTTCTGCAAAGTCTGAACTCGAACCGGTTCACAACCATTCGAGAAACGAATCCACTTCACGACGCGTTGCAGTTTCCCCTCCTGTTTCCAATGGGAGGTTCTGGATGGGAGTACACCATGACGAAGATCGACGGGAAATCATTGTCTCTCCGTGCGTTCTTCAACTACTGGCTTCAAGAATGAGACGGCGACGACTTCTCCGACATGCTGCACCGATCCTCCATGCTGTGTAAGATGTACACTACGGTCGGCTTCGTTCGCGTGGAAACCAACAGGCTGCGCTACATTTCGCAGAAGGGAGAGAAGTTGCGATTCGATTTGTACGCAAGCGTAAAGGAGGCCGCCGAGAGACGTTCAGGATTCCACAACGTTGGCATCAAGTCCATCGTGCCTCCAAGCTATACTGGCGGCAAGCGTTACATGAAGAAATGCTACTTCAACGCCATGGCAATTGTGCGCAAGTACGGGAAGCCATGCCTCTTCGTCACCATGACGTGCAACCCCAATTAGCCGGAGATCATCAGTCAACTCAAGCCCCATCAAATGTCAGCTGAACGCGATGAGATTGTCACATGTGTGTTTGAGTCGAAGCTAACGTATTTCGAGGACGACATCCACAAGAAACACGTCCTTAGCAAGGTTGTCGCATCCGTGCGTGTTGAAGAGTTTTAAAATCGTGGCTTGCCGCATGTGCACATGCTCCTCATCATGGAAGACCAAGACAAGTTCAGGACCGTCGAAGACATCAACTATGTGGTATCCACGCGCATCCCAGACGAGATCAAGAACCCCCAGCTACACGAGTCAGTGAAGAACTTCATGACCCATACGTGCACGCATGTGCAATACGACGAAATGGACAGGTGATTCCAAGTGCGAGGGCTTGCACCGACAAGACTGGCAAGTGCAAGAAAGGCTTTCCGCAGCCCCTGCATGCTACCACAACCGAGGGGGTCGATGGATATACAGTCCGACGCGACACGGCCGTAGACCAGTACTGTGTGCCACACAACCTGTACTTGGTGCACAAGTACAACTGCCACATCAACGTCGAGGTATGCACAAGCATCAAGGCCGTCAAGTATCTGTACAAGTACGTGTACAAGGGCAGCGATCGGATCACGTACGCTGTCTTCACCGACCAGGAACGCCAGCCCATGCTTGACGAAGCACGGGAGTACGTTGAAGGACGCTACGTGACCTCCCTCGAAGCTATCACACGCATCCGCTGCTACGACCTGCAAAGGATGTCCCACGCTGTCGAAGTATTGCCCGTGCACGAGAAAGATCAACAGCATTGCACCTACGACGAAACCCACGGCGCATTTAACAACAAGCGAGTCTTCGTACCGCACATCACCTTGGTCGACGAGGGCAGCCAATCCAACCTCCCTTTCAAGTTGAAGCGACGCCAGTTTCCAATGAAGTTGGAATTTGCTATGACCATCAACAAGTCTCAGGGCCTAACGTTAAGCCGCGTGGGACATATCTTGCTAAGCCCAGTGTTCTCTCACGGAAAACTGTATGTTGCACTGTCTCGAGCCAAAACCAAGGCTGGGATCTCTGTGTTAGTACGGGATGGCAAGTTCCCCGGAATCGAAGGAATCTACACCCAGAACGTCGTGTACCGCTCCATTTTTGCCAATGACGAAAACTAAATACTCCATAAGACGGAATTCATTTTTTCTAAATATCGTGCACACATCCATTCACATAACGGTCATCGGCACAACCTACTTTTTGCAACACTAAACGATTTTGCATCTTACGTACCATGCCGTATTTCCCCTATCGTACCATCAACCATCATAGCAAATATAGGAAACCCAAGCTATTTTCAATAGACGGACGTGTTGTTCGTCACGTCGTTCAACACAAATATGTACAGATCCGAAACCCTTGCTGTACTCAACGAAGCAAATCATCCTGTACATCAAGTTTCTACAGCATTGTTTTTCCTCAAATGACGCCACACAACACGGCGGTACATCGAAAACACTGATACTTATATGACGAACTCCTTCCGAAGTGTATACGTAAGTACTGTTCACCACATCCAACACAGCGGTCATGCCTGCAAGATGCGTCGACTTTACTCTGACCAACATATCACGAGTCAATCTGCGGAGCTATTGGAGTGACCGTGAGTTGGCGCCGACTGTGTTCTGACCAACATGTCACGA